GGAACTGGGGGGGGGCTGGGTGGGCACGCCCACAGAGGAAATTTCTGCCGTCTGGAGGGGGAGGGAAGAAAAAATTGTTTCTGATAATAGTAAATGTATTAGGACATCCAAAGGGGGTAGGGGCGGGTTAACTTCCTATTTCTTCCATGGGGGTGGTATGGATGTTTTCTGGCATGACCCAATACACCAGTAAGTTCCATTTGTAACTGGCGAAACAAGATTTCTGACTTGTCAATTCCCACAAGCCCTTCCAAAAACAATCAAAACGAATGCAGCAAATCAAATTGTTTTGGCAGTGGTAACAATATGATGGCAAAATTTAACATGAAAAATTTAACACCAGGGAAGACCTAACAAATTTTATTCCCAGAAAAATTGTGATGGTCATTAACGGGTGACCAGCCATGGTGTAAAAGATTATGAGTTTAATACAGTCATTGAGTTAACACATCATTCAGACATGTTTTTCTAGGATTACATTGATTCATTTACTAAAACGTTAGTGAGGAAAAAACACTTGCATTTTAATTCTAGGTAATGATGGAAATGTCATTAAATACCTCGGGTCCAAGTTACTGTCAGTCGAAAGGGGAGCAGTTTGCTTGGGAGGCTGATAATGCTGCACCGGATGACAAAAAGTTCTTTAAAAGGTACTAGCTTGTATTATTCTAGAAAGGGTCAGCAACTTTTGTTTTGAATGTGATACATTTCCTATTAATCAGTAAGCTGGTTGAAATGAACATTATTTTGTTTTGTTTTATTTGAAACAGTGACAGGATGGACAAACAAGTTCTCCTTTCAACGCAAGGCACAGTGTCAACATCACAATATGCAGTTGGTCTGCTTAAAGATGGTACAATAGTTAAATTTTATAACATGGCCAGAAATTTTGGACAGATGACTACAGTATTCTACTTCCTTGCCAATTTGCATTTCATTGATGCATAATTACCCGTTGAAATAGAGGCCGTGGAACTGGGGGGGGGCTGGGTGGGCACGCCCCCCCCCCCACTTTTTGTGCAAGCAGAAAATGTGCCCTTTTTGTGGAATAAAAGTGCCCTTTTTTCCAGCAATTAACCCATTAAGCACCAGCGCTCTCCCCTTGATGAATAAAATCATCTGGCGTTAGAGTCAGAGTAAAATAGTAAAGGTACGTTTACACGCTGCGATTTGTCGGGCCGATTTTGCTCGCTGTATTTAAATAACCTGTCGTGAGTACTCGCGTCAGCACCTTGCGATTCACAAAATTGGGAGAAAAATCTGTAACAAAATCACAGATTTTTCTCACGATTCAACGATTTTTCTTCCGTTGTAAAGTTGTTGAAAACTTTTCGCACCCAGAAAACTATAACATGAACAGACGAGAGAGCGGACAGCTTCAATTGAACGTTTAAATCGCTAAATGTCGAAGAAGGGACATTGATTTTTTTTCAAAATCGGCCGGACAAATCGCAGCGTGTAAACGTAGCTTTAACTAGGGCTCATCAGGGCGCAATGGACTCAATGGGTTAACTAGACACCACATGGACAGATAGGCCAGTTAACCCATTAAGTGCCAGGGCTCGCCTGGAGCCTTGATGAGTAAAATTGTCTGGCGTTA